ACAAAATACATACTCATTGTAGAATATTTGGTAAACAGTGAAAAGTAAAAGGGAACAGATAAAAATAACACATAATCCCACCATCCAATGTTAATATTTTGGCCTATTTTCTCCTACATGCGTGTCTGGTGGGGGAGGGGGGTCTTAAAACAATTCTTTTATGACATATCATACATTTCCCTCTTCACATTATCTAAGCAATTTCCACAAAATTAAAAATGCTTAAACCTTCATTTTTGTGGTCTGTATATTCTGAAGTATACCTATATTATTATTCCCTTTGATGACGGACTTGAAATTTCTTATGATTTTTCACAATCACAAATAATATTGTGATAAACATTTTTATGCCTCTTTCTCCGTATCTCTGATTATTTCTTCAGAAGTGCAATTACAGGGCAAAATGGTCTGAAAAGGTATTTTAGACAAGGTAACAATGAGTGAGAGCATTGGCTTTGGAGTCTGACAGTCTTGGATCCAATTATCAGTTCTCCATTTACTACTCGTAAAACCTTGAGCAGATTACCTCATCTTTTTTGCATCTCAGTTTCATCATTTGTAAAATGAAGATAGTATGTATTTCATTGGGTTAAATGAAATTGTGTTAAAAACGCATATATGTTGCATTTCATAAGTCAACCACTAGATGGAGATGGAGGTTTAGAGTTCTAAAACAGTGGTTCTCAGGAAATTCCCAAGCAGCAGCTGCACCGGGGAATTTTTTGAGAAATGCAATTTCTCCAGCTGCATCCCAGAACTACCTAGCCAGTATCTCTGGGGATGGGGCTCAATCTGAAAGTCTGAGAATCATTGATCTAACACATATTTACATTTTTCTCTGATGCCTGGGCAGAAAGAAGAGCCAAAAGACACTTAACATACAATAACCACTGCAACTTACAGAGGGTATGGAGTGCTACGTAGCTCTACTAAGTGATATACATACATTACGGCATGTATCCTTATTTTTAGAAAAACTTCGAGATATTTTTACTCGATTTTTTCAAACGAGGAAACAATCTTAGATTGAATGAACTTGCCCAATGTCATTTAGTGACTAAATAGAGAGTCTGTGTTCCAGTCTAGGCCATGGGTTTCCCCATTCGTCCACACTGCCACTCCAGGGGCTTGAAAGTCCGTTAAAGTGTAATTTCCCTATCCCACCTCTCCCAGGTCAGGGAGTCTGGGCATGTCCATTTATAAGTTTGCATACATCTGTGTATTTGTGCTTACAGAAGGGTGATTATGGTTCATTTTGAATATCAAGCTATATAAAATCATTAAAATTACTTAAGCCATTAAAAATTGTCTTAAAGTGAGAACTGAATGCTTGGCGTAGAAATTATAAAACTAATTTCTGAGGATCTGGCACAAAGAAGCAAGACTCGTTGTTAATTAGCATAATTTTCCCCTGGCTGGTGCTGAGTGTGCTCACTTTAGGCAAATGGCTAACTTGTCAAGAACTATGCAGAAGGAAAACATTCTCACCAATAACACCTACCTATGCCTGTCTTATTAAAATACCCATTTAATCCAAATTTAAAAGGGAGAACAAAAAGTACAAAAATAATTCACTTATGACAGATCAATGAATTGGTCACATTAACTTCACAATGCCGCATGAGCTGCAAGAAAACATTATAGAGGGCAGAAATGATTGCTAAAGAGCCTCTATTGATATTGTTAAGGCTGCAGCAGGGAGTCAGAGTTTTCATTGACATTTACTAGATGAGTGAACCAGCCAAACTGTTAATTACCCATTCAGCTGGTTTTCTCATTTACAGTATAAAAGCAGAGTTATTGTGAGGGTTAAAAGAGATGGCACAGGTGAATCAACTGGTCTGTGAAGAACACTAAATATCATCATCATCGTCATTAAATCAGATACCTCATAATTGGCTACTATGTTAATTCAGTCCCTGCAGAAGCAGAATGCAAGATGAGAGTAAAGGTGTAAGAGACTTATTAGGGAAAACACCTATAAGAGAAAATGGAGCAGGAAGCTAAGAATGCTGGGAAAGCCATCAGACTCTGATGTGGGTCTGACCCCTGTGGAGGAAAGAGGATAGGAAGGAAGGTTGGGTAGGTAATATCTGATAAGAAATTTTCAGCGAGGCTGATGGGGAATTCTCAAGTCAGTCACTCATCAGGGGAGTCCTGTGTCTCCCAGGAACTGGCCTTAGTGTCCTTGCCACACTCAATCATCATTGGGTGGGATCAGCACAAACACAGCGATGGATACGAAGGCCAAAGGTCAAATAGGCTCCCTGCAAAGAAGCACGAGTCTCCTTTCACAGCTGCCTCATCTACATTGATTCCTTAATGTTTCCCTGCAAACTTGTCCACTAATACAAGCAAATGTATGAGTGAAACTAACAGGAAGGCTTTAGTTTTTCTTCAGTTACTCTCATTTAAGAACCACCAGCTACTCTGTATTTATACTGAACGAGTTAATGCTTAATAAAACACTTAGATTGGTGCCTAGCACACCGTAAGCGCTAAATTGTTACTAATATGATAGTCTTAGAGTTTAACTGAACTTCTGAAGAAGGAAGACCTGCAAGACCATAAGTTTGCAGTCCTCTTCTAGCTGACATTTAATGAGGTGATAATGCTGGAATAGGGGTCTTTCCTACAGGAATCTGCAATGTGGTAACAAAAACTTTTTTTATTGGGTATGCAGAGAAACTAAAGAAAGATGAGGAGAGAGTAAAGGAGCCTCTTCAGAAAGTCTTCCCCTGGGGCCGACCCCGTGGCTGAGTGGTTAAGTTCGTGCACTCTGCTTCTGCAGCCCAGGGTTTTGCCGGTTCCAATCCTGGGCGTGGACATGGCACCGCTCGTCAGGCCATGCTGAGGCCTGACGCACATGCCACAGCTGGCAGGACCCACAACTAAAAATATACAACTATGTACCGGGGGGGCTTTGGAGAGAAAAAGGAAAAATAAAATCTTTAAAAAAAAAAAAAAAAGAAAGTCTCCCCTTAAAAGTTCTCATCACAAGGAAAAGAAAAATGTTTGTAACTATATGAGGTGATGGATGTTAACTAAACTTATTGTGGTAATCATTTCACAATACATACGTATGTCAAGTCATTATGTTGTACACCTTAGACTTATACAGTGTTGTATGTCAATCCTATCTCAATAACACTGGAAGAAGAAAAAAGAAAATCTCCCATAAATTCTCTTAACACTCTGGAACCTATTTCTTTGCCTTTATGAGATACTGCCAAGCGATTGTAATTATTTATGCATATGTCTTGTCCCCTCAACTAAGCTGTACTCACGTTCACTCATTCAGCAACTATATATTGAGTGCCTCTACATGCCAGGCACCGCTCTCAGTGCTGGGGGTACATCAATGGGCAAAACAAAAATGGCTGACCTTGTGGAGCTTAGGTGCTAGTGGAGGAAGACAGACCATAAACACATAAGAAAAGTATATTGTCTGCTGGAAGGTGATAAGGACGTGGGGGGAAATAAACCAAGATAAGGGAATGGGGTTTATAGGGGTTTTTAAATGATCAGGATGAGCCTCATAGAGAAGATGACAACTGAGCAGAGTCCTAGGGAGTGAGTGGTAATAGTGACTATCTTGAGGGCATGTACACAGCTTAATCACCAAAAATCTAGAACAGTTCCTTGCACATGGTAAATATTCAATAAATATTTACTGATTAAATAAAATTCAAAGACTAGGCTAAAACCGTATACTAGATTGAAAATTAGTCAAGAATGATTTACCTTTAGCTTGTTAAAACTATGATTCCTTCTGAAGCACCAGAGTGTCCTAGCTTTATCCCTAAGAAAACACTGAATAATCGGTATGAAGAGTGGAAGTTGTTAAAAATGACTATTACAGTTAAAAAAAAGAAGAAAATGCCTCTTCAGGAAACTGACTTTTACTAATCAGCCTCCCATTATTTTAAATCCACAGTCAGCATTTACTTTCCACAGTACCCTTAGATATGTATGTTAACTGGCCGTGGCTTTCTGCCATAAAGAAATTTTATGTGCCATGATAAACACTGTGTTTGTCAAGAGGGACTTGGCCTTTTTAGGTTTAAATGACAAACTACCTCAAATATGCACATGTATGAATTCAGCGATTAATGCATAATTACATCATACTTACAAACTGTTCATCAGTAATAAACTATATTTTAACTTACATAAACAAAGTTAACACATTTTTCCAATAAATTATTTCACACAGGTATATGCTTATGAATCTATTTAATTGTTCAAGCTATGCTAGAGAATACAAATTTTGAATACATATTTCGTAAGATTCAGTTACAACACAGATGATTTCCAATGGTAATTTCTTACACTATCCTGATTAACAAAAAAAATTTTACCCATTAAAAAGAAAAATCTTTACCATCTGCTACCAAATCTCTATGTCAAAATATATATTTTAATTATGCATTTAATTATGTCACTTTTGGCTAACTGGTTTGATAAATATTAGAGACCCATTTTAAATGATTTTTATAAATATTTCCAAAACATGTTTTCCAATTATTATTTTTCAAATGAAAACATATAATTGACTTACGTTTACATATAAATTTTCTCTGCACAGTGATATTTTATTAAAAGAAAATAGTATGGAAAGTGCAAAAGCTCTGGCTCTCCAAGGCATAGCAAAAAGAAAAGGCAAAATTTAATTCTCTCTCCTGATTTTTACTCTTTGAGTTTTATTTTCTGCCCTTGTCTATTTTTTTAAATGCTAGAAATTATATTCTTAAGGATGCATACCCCATCAGGCCAGTGAGAGATTCAATACTGAGTGTGAACATATGAACATACAGTTGAGAAGTAATTACCCAATAAAAATAACAATGTTGCTACTTCAATTATTTGGGGGGAGAAGTTATTTTTATATTATCTGAAAAAAGTAATGGTTTCCAATTCATTAGTAAATATATTAACTATACATATCAAAATGGAGAGCCTTTTAAGATAAGGAGATGGGCAGTCAGCAATGATTTAAATTAGTCAGGATAGCAGGAATCTGGGGTCAAGGCTGTTTCCACTATTTTGGTCTGACCACCATAGGTAAGTGGGACCCTATTTGTGTAGCACTTGTTCCTGTCATAAGCGTAGCAGGTCTCACTTTCTTCATCACAGATATTGCTCTGGGAGGCAGTAACTACTTGATTATCCAGCTCCACTTCTACAGGATCACATTTTTTACAGCTGAAAAACAAATATATGCATTAGACAACCCCCATCAAATGGTGTCTCTGAATCTGAGTGACTACACATTTCCATCCAAAATCAATTAGCGCTTGCAGCTCTGACCTGACAACTGACAAAGGGTGACTCCTTTCAGAGCTCAGCTGCTCTACAATACAGAGTAGATTATGAGATTTTTAAACCTTTAATGTATAAAAATTAGTAGAAAGTATGCAATATAATTACCAATGATATAATAATATGATTGTTTTGTCTACACCATATAGCAACTTCTACTCTGTTAGATTTATGCTCAACTGTATACTAGGATTTAAGCAGTTATTTATAGTGACAAGAAAGTGATAAACTTTTTTTTAATTGTTTGATGTTGAATCCTGTAGTTTCCAAAGAAACATCTGCATGTTAATATGTCCCAAAAACAATTAGTGAACTATTAAGACAAACTGGTTCCTCTTGTACTAATAGCAATAATTTCTTCTTTAGAATAAATTTATAGCTAACTTTTATCTGTGATAAAGTTTTATGAATTTATGATACCTAATAATTAACATAAGAATTAATGTATTCCAAAGTTCAAAGTATATCGCTAAATGTCTATACCCCAACATATTTTCAAAAACATTCTTACTAACAAGTTTAATTAAAAGTTATTAATTTCTATATGCATATTAGTATGAAGGAAAATTTCTTACAGGTCGGATAAATGGTACACAAATTTGGTTCTCACTGGTGAGGTGGGATCAGAGATATTCTCTCTGCTGTTCACAGGAATACTAAAAGAAAGAAAGAAAACAAAGGAAAATAATGAAACTAGCAGATATTGATATTTTTGGTAACAGGCACACTGCTAAGACATTTCATTGGAGGGGTATATACATTCATTCATAAGTATATTTCATGCAGACATTTAGGACTTTCAGCACTCTATAAGCACTCTTCAGTAATACTATTACTCAGATTCACAGTATTTCACTATATTTTAAACATTTCTCATTCAAAATAAACCTCACAGCAACCTCTCTGTCAACTATCTTTGCTTACTTGGCAAATCCCTGCTTTTTCTTTAAAAACAAGCTCAAGTTTTACCTTCTCTGTGATGACTACTTTGATCCCATGCCCACCCCTCAATAAACTCCTTCCTCAGTAGTCTCATTAAAGTTCATATATCTTTATTATAACAAATGCCATATCATAGTTCTTGTCTTCAGAGTCGTTGCTTCCCTAGACTACATAAACTCAAGGCAAAAACATTTATGTATTCCCAGTGCCTTGCTAGATGTGTGGCATGTAGAATATGTTCAATGTATGTGGAATGAATGGACAGATATTATTATCCACATTATAGAGATGTGGTAATTATAAATCAGAGAGGTTAGTGAGCTACCTGAGTTCACACAACTACTAAGTAGGAAAGCTGGAACTAGAATCCAGATCTCTTGATTTGGTGATGTTCTGTGAAAAATGGGATAACACTTACCAACTAGTTCAGGTGATTTCATTAATATTTACATTTTTTCATCTATGTCATCATCCCTCCTCATATGCATCCCTCCCTACCAAAAGATACAAACAAAAACTTATGTTTCCTAACTCAGTCTTTAGCTATACCACCCACATAGATATCCAAGCCAAAAACTTGGATACCATCCCTGAGTCCTCCGTCTCTGTCATGACCTATAACTAACCCATCTCACAGTTCAATCGATTCTAATTATTTGCACTTGTGAAATCCATCCACTTGGTTCAGGACACCACCATTTCTCTCCTAGATTCTAGCAATACCCTCCTTCAGTCTTGACCCCTCCAACACATTAGCCACATTATTGCCAAAATGGCCTTTCTAAAATACAAGCCTAATTTCCCTCTCTGCTTAAAACTTACGGTGTCTCTCCACAGATAAAAAGATCTCCTTAAGATGGCACAGAAGGCACTTCATGATATAGCTCTACCTCTCTAGCTTCATCTCTCACCATGCCACCCGCTTTTCACTACATGCCAGCTGTAAACAGCTGCTTGCAGTTCCACAAATTCACCATGCTTTTCTCATCTCCAAGTCTCAACAATAACGAAAACAACAACTGTTCTAACATTTACTAAGTATTTACAGTGTGCCTCGTGCCATGCTAAACACATTACATGATGATCTCACAAAACCCTCACAGCAACTGTTTCCTTTCCTTGGAATGATCAACCTCGTCACGCCCCACACACATTTACCTAGTTAGTTCCCATTCAGCCAGCTAACGGCCATGATCCACTTCCACCACTTACTCCAAACACCCTTTCCTGCCTCCCACTGCCACTCTCCCTCTGCTCCCCAGGGTTGAACTGTGTGCCCCTCTCTCGTGCTCCTATAACATTCGATGCCTTTTCTTGTCACAGCATTTACAGCACTGTACTGTAATTGCCTTTTTAATTGTTTTTTTTTCTCTCTAAAGATTGGCACCTGGGCTAACAACTGCTGCCAATCTTTTTTTTTTTTTTTCTGCTTTATCTCCCCAAACCCCCCTGTACACTGCAATTGTATATCTTAGTTGCAGGTCCTTCTAGTTGTGGGATGTGGGACGCCGCCTCAACGTGGCCTGACGAGCGGTGCCATGTCCCCGCTCAGGATCCGAACCCTGGGCTGCCGAGGAGGAGGGCGCGAACTTCTTAACCACTCGGCCACGGAGCTGGCCCCGCCTTTTTAATTGTTTAAAGCTCCCTACTAGACTGTAAGTTCTTTGACGGCATGGACTGTGTTTTACATAAATTGTTTCCCCAGCTCCAGTCCTCAGTGGCATTCAGTAGCACTAAAATGCCAAATGAATGGACCTATTCTTTATTAGATGGTACAGGCTCCAGTAATATGAGATAAGGCTCTAAATGATGAAAAAGATAAGGAAGCAAATATGTATGAGTGTGTACTGTGGGCCAAACACAGTTCTAGATGCTTTTATACACTATCATATTTAATCCTCACAACCCTATAAAGTATATGTGTGTGTGTATATATATAATAATTATATATATATGGATAATTATTCCTTTTTTACAGTTTGGAAACAGACTCAAATTAGTTAAGCAAGTTGCCCAAAGTCACATTGTTAGTAAGTGATGGAGTTGGGAATAACGGGATAATGACACAGCAATGATAACAGAACTTTCAGAAATGAGATCAGGGAACCATTGACACGCATGAGGCAAAGTGACATGAAGTGACTGAATTATTTGATTCCAGAAAACCATATAATATCATAAAAAGAATCATGTCGTAGAATAAAAAGTTGAATTGGAAAATCACAGAGTGCCATTTAAAAATCTTCCCCCTGGGACCCCGGAGATTAAAACAAAAGATAGACATTCCTCTTCAACACAGTTTAGGTGCCAATGTCATGGATGCCATCCCTTCAAGTTACATGCTTCTCCAACTGTTCTCTCTCTAATAGGGAGCTATGTGGCATAGAATCTGAATGGTGGGAAAAAAACCTGCTAGAGGAGGTGATGTCTAAAGTAAAACACACAGGTTGAGGAGGAGTTAACCAAGCTAAGAGGGGTGGGAGAAAGAGTTCTTCAAGCAAAAACAGAAAAGGAAGCAAGTACTGTGAGTGTGAGGCAAGAAAAGCTCTAAAATGATGCTGGATTTTCAAACATAAGGTGAAAAAAAGCGGCAATGGAAGAGCTTGAGAGTTTCGCTGAATGTTGCAAGTTAAGCTGAGGCATTTGTAATTTATCCTAATAAGAATGTTAGCAAAACCACCAGAGGGATTGTAAGAAGAATAGCGACATTATGGTAACTGGCACATAGGCTACATAAATAAGTAACAGCAAATATTTTCTGAAAATGTTCCAGGAACTATTCAGTCTCTAAAAGGAATAGATCTCAATTTCTCTTCACAATAACCCTATATAATACACACTATTTCCCCCATTTGAAGATGAGACAGTTGAAGTTTAGAGTGGATAAGTAACTTGCATACGGAAGCACACAGCTATTAAGCGACCTAGCTAGAACTTGAAACAGATTCTTTTTTTTTTTTTAAAGATTTTTATTATTTCCTTTTTCTCCCCAAAGCCCCCCGGTGCATAGTTGTATATTCTTCGTTGTGGGTTCTTCTAGTTGTGGCATGTGGGACGCTGCCTCAGCGTGGTCTGATGAGCAGTGCCATGTCCGCGCCCAGGATTCGAACCAACGAAACACTGGGCCGCCTGCAGCGGAGCGCACGAACTTAACCACTCGGCCACGGGGCCAGCCCCGAAACAGATTCTTAAACACATTATACTTCTCTCATTGATTAAATGGGACTGAATATTACGTTCTGTTTCAATAACGGGTACTTGACTGCAGGGAATCTATTCAAGGTAGGAGTGGTTCCCAAGGAAGACATTACAGATTGAATCTAACAGGAATCTCATTTCTTAAATATCATTAGCATTTTTGCTATTGAATAAGACTATAGCTTATAACTTTGACTATGTGTGAAATGAAATGAATATCCGAAGTTCAATATACAAATGAAGACTGAATCAAATTAGTCAATACCTTACCTTTAAATAGATGGTTGAGTACAGTGTAAAATACTCTGTAGTCCATATATGGTAAAAAAATAAGGCTTTTAGTGTTAACTCCAGTTTCAGTTTGATCAAAGGGCAACTAAAAGTTCTGATTCAAACTGAAATAACTCCATATAAATAGGGTACACTGATGACTATATCTGAACCTTCAGTTATAATTTGATCTAGCTGACTAGACTTACATTGCCTGGAAACCTTTGTTCCTGCTCCCAACTTCTACATAATTGGCACAAGCCCATTAACCAGATTCAACCTTATGTAAGGTGCTACACATCAAAAAGAGGAATAGGGGCCGGCCCCTGGGGCCCAGTGGTTAAGTTCGCGTGCTCCGCTTTGGCGGTCCAGGGTTTCGCTGGTTCAGATCCTGTGCATTGACCTAGCACCGCTCATCAAGCCATGCTGAGGTGGTGTCCCACATGCCACAACCAGAAGGACCAACAACTAAAATATACAACTATGTACTGGGGGGATTTGGGTAGAAAAAGCAGAAAAAAAAAAAAGAAGACAATTAGCAACGGTGTTAGCTCAATTGCCAATCTTTAAAAAAAAAAAAAAAGAGGATTAAAGATATACGTATTACATTCAAACAATGGCTAATATCAGAAAGTATTTCTGCTAACAACAGGAAAAAATGAAATGTGAAATACCACGTACATAATTCTGATGTGTCTCTCCAGAATGTCTTCATTAGGATTTTCAGGAGAGGGGATGATCCTGGAAGTAACCCGGACACACTTACATTTGTTGTCAGCCAGAACAATCCTTTCACCTTCATCTCCGGCTTGAAAGAGAAAACATAAGAAGAAAGGGAAACAAAAGTCTATTTATATACTTTGTACTGAGCTAATTTATTTTTTTTCCTGCAGAAAACTTGTTTTACGGTTGATAAGTTTCAGCTTTCTCCATTTGTTCTCTTTCCTAATCTAAAATAGCTAAGTGGAATCTCACAGCATAGTGAAGGAAATCCAAATGCACTGCAAAAGGAATTTTCTTTTTTTCCCTATGGGAATCTAAGCTGAATGAATTCTGGTTTTAATCTAATGCTTCTAAGAAAGGCACAGCTCTGTGAATTCACGTAGCCTTGTAAAAATCAGTGTCAAAGGCCAAAATGAGAGAGAAAAGAAAAATCTAGGCTGGATTTCTCTCAGACGGAAGCAATTCATTCAAAAGTGAACAAAAAATAACACTAGCCTTTATAAACCCAGTCTGAAGTTTCACATCCTTCCTGAACTCCCATTTACACTCTTTTTTTGGCTTAGATTGCATTAGAGCTAAGAACAGGCATGTTTTCCCCAAGATAACCTTATTTTGTGAGACTTAAATATTCTCCACTACAATTTTCCTAAACTTAATCATATTAATTATATTATTTATATTAACATTGATATTAATTATATTATATTAATTATACTTAATCATATTCTTCTTTTTCATAATAAAATCAGGTTATCATGGTATAATGATCCAATCAAATAAAATAATAGGTGCTATATTTCTGATAAGAATGATTTTAAAAGATATATATACATGTAAAGTGCCACAAATTTTCAAAAACAATTCAGAAAATATTGTGAGGTATAAGCTCTATTTAATATAATAAGCCTGTGGGAAGAAAAAATAAATAAATGAATGAATACACAGATGACCACTAAAGCCTTAACTCTGAGTGTCAACATTTATTGTCAAATCTGAATATTAGACAAAGAGGTATAGTAAGTGTTGCAAAGAATAAACAAAGAAAATTTCTTACTATCTGGACTTAGATTAGTTAACAGATGTTTGAAGAGTTAATAATAGCTTTACTTAATAAGACCAATTAAACAATAATAATGATATTAAATCCTTTTTATTTCTATAATTTTAGCTGAGTGACCTTTAAAATTTCCTCCCATCAAGCCTCAACAAAAAAACAAAGATTTAGCACATGAATTCAAATTATAAAGGTTAAATGATCAGGCTAGATATAATTGTAACTGGAAGTCTAATCATTCTAGAGATGATCTCAAAGCAGAGAGGACCTAATTGCAGTATTTCAGTCTTAATGATAACAGTCATTACAAAAACACTTTAAGACCATTGTTATTGTACTTATAATTGTTTGAAGTACTTTATAATGCATTATTATTCCATTACTCATAAGTTCTTCGTAATAAATCTTCTGATAAAAGTCTGTATGGTATTGGACAAGAAACATGATGAAGTAACAATCTAAAATAATGATATAACTCTAATTAACGTTTTGAAAAGAGTAAGATGACTTAAGTGGTATCTTCCCTACTCCTGTATTCATGACTCTTAAATGTTTTTCTCAGTAAAATACTAATGAGCATGTAATGCCTGACCAAAAATATAGATTGAAGTCGAGTATGTGACTTGACTGTTAAGTCTTAAATAGAAAATGTCTATATTTTCTTTATGGCATATGATTAATTTCCTTGCCAGAAATCTAGGGAAAAACTATAATTACCGTTATTATATAAAAATATTAGGCAGCCTAATATACCTACCAGAAAATGTACAAATACTTTCAATTCACCAAGACTTGTAAGATTCTAATATTCTCTCTCAGTGACAGGCAGTATTTTTCCCAATAAACCTCTTATTAGAGACTGTGCCTTACTTTATTCCAAGAGCACCTGAGACATAGTAGGTGCTCAAAAAATATCTGTTAAATTTAACTTAGTTCAGTTCAAACAAATAATAAAATAGACATAACAACACATACTAGATATGAGCACAGTGAGTTCACCAAAAGGTGATTCTCTTATACAGGTAGAATAGGATAGTAGTTAGGAGTGTGGGCTATAGGGTCAGATGGCCTGGGTTCTACCTACTTAACTACCTACCACATGCTTGCTGTATGACCTTAGGTAAGTTATTTTTCCTCTCTAAATCTCAAGAGCTCAATTATATGTCAGAAACAATAATAGCACCTATCCCCAAATGGTTACTGTGTGAATTAAATGGAATAGTATATGTAAAGCAGTTAGCATAATGCCTAGAACAGAGTATGTACTCAATAAATAATAGCTCTTATAGATATATAGCTACATACATGTTTTACATGTATGTTTGTAGGTATATAAACAGGTTCATGGTCATACATTTATATATGCATAGATACATATACTGTACATGTTTTACTATCTTTATATTTTAAATATTATTAGAAATTCATTATTCTTAATGCTAAATTAGTACAAAAATATATGTAAGATGACTATTAATTACACCATACTCTATCCTGAAATAAGAATAATAAGCTCACTAAGTGTTAGAAACTATCCAGCCAAATTATATCATTCCTAATTCATATGCTCTTCTAGATGAAAATTATTAAATACTGTACTTCTATTTTCTTTAGTAGTTTGAAAGGTTAATAAACAAAATAATCAAACTTCAGCCATCAAGTTATAGGCAGCCTGTATAACATTAACATTGTTAAAGGGTCATAATAAATCTGTAGGCTTAGACCCAGGAAAGTTGTTAGAACTAATACCAGTCTCTCTGGGGAAATAAAATCCTAATGCATTCTACATTGTATTTACAGTAATTTTCACTTCATTTCTCCAGAATGTTAATTTAAGACGCTCAAGAAGATTATTGATTTTCAAGATTCAATATGAATATTCACATAAGCATAGCTACCAATACTTATCCAGAAATATAAATTTTCTTATTCTCTAGGTTATAGTAGGCAAATAAGAGAAAAAAAAATAAAAAGAATTACAGTGAGTTTTGTCTGCCTAAAGATCACTGCCCTTATAAAGATTAAGGCATGTTAGAAAAAGTAACCAGATATAGCTGGCCAAGCAAAGCACAAACATAAATGCTTAAATCTGAAGAATAGCTCTGTGCTATATTTTTCCATTTATCTGGGTTTTTTCAAAATACCACATACCTGTCACAAGAACAGCCTGAACAAAAATGGCCAGGACTCCCCAGAAAAACAAATGGTTCTTCATCTTGACTTCACCGCTTTTGAAAAACTGGAGCTAAAATGTCAGGGTTAAGGTGTGTCATCTATAAGGAGTGTGCAAATGATGGCGCTTCTGCTTTCTTAAAATAACACTGCAGGCAGCTAACAAACTAAAAACAATCACAACTGTGGTTGCAGTCTGAAATTTAAATGCTGCACTGGAAAGAAATCTATCGCTCAGATTTATGTAGTTTCTTTCAAAGTGTCCCTCAAAAGCCACGTTTTAATGCAATCACTTTTTATTTTACATATACTCTATATAACTAAACCAGAAGAATAGTAACAATTTCAAGGCGAGTCCTTTAAGAATATTTAAATAGGGGTTATCAACTTTATTACCTAGGTGTAAAGTTTCCAGATGAAATATACGACATTTGTTGTGCCTGGAACAATAAATGAAGGGAAAAGAAGGAAAAGGAATGAATTAAAGTCATTTAAGATCCCAACTGTATCTTACATCAACTTTTTCTTTTAGTTTTCATTTAACCAAGTTACCAGATTTAAATATATATATATCATATATACATATTCTGATAGTTTCGGTTATTTTATAAGTTCAAACATGGAATTGGAATTAGAAACAGGTGGTTCCCAGATGTATCAGTCAGCACGTTTTATTTTGATAGCATTAAGGCAGAGCCTATATTTGCTCATCTAGTAACACCTCTCAGAATTGTAAACCCGTGAAATGATTTTCATTTGACACACCTTGCCTCAACAAAAAACTGAATCACTGCAGTATTTCTTGTAAATTTTTTTCATTAATTAGTGTAAAAAAAAAAACCTGAGCTTTTGGACAGGGCATCCCCCTACCCTCCACCTCAACATGCTAGAATGTCCTGCCTCTTAGGCAGGGTTGGTTTCAAGAACATGTTGGTTACATTTATATGCAACTTCAAATCTACATTACTTTTGGTTCTCAGTTCTCTAATTTTTTAAGGCTCTCCTAGAATTTTGAGAGGTGCTAAAGAAATACTTCAGGATCATAAGTAGGTAAGCGGATTTCATAGCTAGCAGTAAAAAATGGCAGAATGAAAATATTAAAGTCTAGCACATAATTGCACTCCTTCAATCAATACGTATTGAATATTTAGCAAGAACCAAGTGCCAGGCACTAGAATACACAATATTACTATACTGTCAAATATTACTCTCATTTTAATTCTAATATTTAGAAACTATTTAGAGTTTAAAAAGACATATTGGATTCGCATAAGCAATTATACCTATTAGAAAAAGAAACAGGGGGCAGGCCCCATGGCCAAGTGGTTAAAGTTCTGCATGCTTCACTTCCACAGCCCAGGGTTGCGGGTTCAGATCCCAGGTGTGGACCTACTCCACTCATCAGCCATGCTGTGGAGGCATCCCACACAGAAAGTAGAGGAAGACTGGCACAGATGTTAGCTCAGGGCTAATCTTCCTTAAGTAAAAAAAGAGGAGGATTGGCAACGGATGTGAGCACAGGGTGAATTTTCCTCACGAAAAAAAAAGAAAGAAAGAGATCTGAAAGAACATTATTTTAGTGTGTGGTCAGGATGTCAAAACAAATATCAACCACTTAAGAGCTCCTCAGCTCTAACTTTAGTTTCTAAATAACTAATTTATTCTATCACTCCAAAAAAGAGTAATTAGAAGTTACCTGGATATTTATTTATAAGTCATTACTTCCTTGAAAATAAACTCAAGGCCAGTTGGATAAATCCCTGGGGACAAATCGAAGCTTCCCCAAAGGCTTATTTTTTATAAAAGCAAAGATTATTTGTTTCATAATTACTAAGCTAAAGAAAAGCTCTATATTTGGTGTTTCTATTATTTCAGTCTTATAGTTTTGTATTTCTATTATGTAAACTATGTGTCTAAAAGAAATTATTTTAATCAAAATAAGGTGTGGAGATCCAAGTGGCACCTTTGCCACCAGAAGAGAGTTACCTATGCTGGTAAAATAGGATCAGGAGAGTGTTTTGCCAAGTGTGGTCCAGGGATCGTCTTCCCTCCACTCACTGAGAGTACTAGTGAAAATATGGATTTCCTGGCTACACACAATCAGAATTTGTGCAGATGTGAACTTGGAATACGTATTTTTAAAATGCCTTCCAGTTGATTCTGTTGTACGCTAAAATTTGAAAACTGATAGACGAGAAGCCTGGGTGGTGGGGGGCGATGGAGGATAACTAGCAGCATTAACTATCTGTGGGAGAGCAGAGGTTAGGCTTACACTGAAAACAACTTAGTTGAGGTTTCCATTTATTTTTATAGTTCTGTGCTTTAGATGAATTGTCTCATAATCTTTTTAGCACTAACCAAACGTATATACACACACACACACACACACACACACACATACATAGAACAGGTCCTGGTTTATCTTTTAAACCATTTCATCTTCAGTTTTAGTTATCTTCTTCCCACTAAAAAATGTAACGTGAATAGCGGGACCCTTTTCATGCGAGTGAGTTAAGCACCTCAGCTATACGGTCTAAGTTCTTCACCAAAAACGGTTTATTTTTCTACATTTATATATATGATTCTCATAGGAAGAGGTTCAGTGATAGACTCATCTGGATAAAGGAGATCTTAAGGTAATTTAGTTTCACTTTCTTGACTCCCACTCAAGTTTTGTTTCAATTTCCTATACAGCAGACATCAGCATTTATTTAAAAACCATCTGAAATAGGTTGATGCTTCACTTCCTTTGAACATAGCTAATTATATTTGGGATACCCAAATCATGACAAAGACTTTATTCTCTTGGGACACAGAGAATACAACCCTTGTTTTCCTCCTATCTCATTGGGGACTCTTTCTCAGTCTCTTGCTGAATTTTTCCCTGAATATTGAGGTTTGATCTTCAGCCTTCTCCCTTATCCCAGCCTCTCCCTAATTAATTTTATCTGATCCCATGGCTTTGAACATAGGACAAGCTATGACTTTCAAACGTCTAAGTCTAGACTTTACCTTGCCCATTGAGCTCCAAACACCTATATCCAACTATCTATTTAATATCTCCCATTGGCTGTCTAACAGCTACCTAAAACTTAACCAGGCAAACAGTACGCATGATCCAGATCAAGCCCTCACACTCCCACTCCAATCTCTCTCCATCTCCAGTCTTTCTCATCTCAGTGAACTGCACCTCCAACCTCCTAGTTGCCAAAATCCTCTTCTTTGATTTCTTTCTTTTCTTCTCCCCCACATTCAATTTACCACCATGTCCTATTAGTTTTATTTCTAAAATACATCCCAAGTTTGTCCTATTCTCTCCATTCTCACTGCTGCCTAGTCCAAGCCTCCATCCTCTTTCCTAGACTACTACAATAGCCTCAATAATAAAAAGCGATTTTTCCTTTGCCCCAGAATTGGCAACTAGGGCTCACTGCTGACAAACAAGAATGGCTAAGTACCCCAAACTCTACAGAGTCAGACACTTCCTCCAAGGCTTAACAAGAGGCAACAGAGCTCAACTTACTGCCATCAACTCCCACCCCCCATGCCCAAGCTCCCTCCTCCAGTCTTCAGAGGACTTTGGCAGGGGAAGGGGATGGGAAATGCCATCATAGGAGCTGTTGGCCTTGTGGAAATAGTAGTGTTTGTGGTAAGAGACTTTCCCCCCTTTACTCTTGACAGGGGGAAGTACAGGGTGCTCTTCTCTCCCCAAAAACAAATGAGGGGGAGATTCAAGAAAATAACTTAAAGAGATCAGGGACCCTGCAAGAAGGAGAAATGGAGAAGCAATATAGTATAATAGTTAAGAGAAAGGATTCTGAGTCTGACTGCTTGGGTTTATCTCCCAATGCACCACTCACCAGTGTGTGACACTGGGCACACTTTGGACAAATCATCTAACCCCTATGCTTCAATTCCCCTATCGGTAAAATGAGGGTAATAAGAATACATATTTCATAGAATTGTTGTCAGGCTTAACATGTTTTACTACATATAAAGAAGTTAGAACAGATCTTGGCATATGGTGAGTGCTATTTAAGTACTAGTGATCATCATCATCATCATAACCATTATCATCATCATCATCATGCTCGTCACTCTTTGGTGAGATGCAGAAAATGCAAACTCAGCCTGGGGCTATCAACCACAATGAAGTGTGAGGAAAGCATTCCTGAGAGAGCTTGACATTTCCCCATGGGTTGCATCATGTAGAACACAGAAACTGATACATGCTCATGCTATATGACCCTTACAGGGTATGAATGAAAATATCCAACAAAGCTATAGTAATCAAAACAGTATGGTACTGACATAAAAAAAGACATATAGATCAATGGAACAGAACTGAAAGCCCAGACATAAATCCACACATACCTGGTCAACAAATATTTGACAGGCAGACAAGAATACTCAGTGGAGAAAAGATAGTCTCTTCAATAAACGGTGTTGGGAAAACTGGAGATTCACACGCAAAAGAATGAAACTGGACCCCTATCTTAAACCACTCACAAAAATTAACTTGAAACGGATTAAGTACTTAAACATAAAACTTGAAACCATAAAACTCCTAGAAGAAAAAATAGGGGAATAGCTCCTTGACATCAGTCTTGTAAATGATTTTTTGGATATGACACCAAAAGCACAAGCAACGAAAGCAAAAATCAACAACTCGGACTATAGCAAACTTAAAAGCTTCTACATAGCAAAAGAAACAATCAACTAAGTGGAAATGCAACTTATGAAATAGGAGAAAATATCTGTAAGCCATATATCTGATAAGAGGTTAACATATAAAATATATAAGGAACTCATGTAACTAAATATCAAAAAAAATCCCAATCTGATTAAAAAATGGACAGAGGACCTGAATAGACATTTCTCCAAAGAAGACATACAAATGATCAACAAGCACATGAAAAGGTGCTCAACATCACTAATCATCAGGAAAATGCAAATAAAAACCACAATGAGATACCACCTCATACCTGTTAGAATGGCTATTATCAAAAAGACAAGAGATAAATACTGGTGAGGATGTGGAGA